CTTTCAAAATTCAAAGAGAAAGCAAGTTTGGGTAAATTCAATTTCTGTACCACGAAGTGACTAGGAGTGTCGCTACATTTGAATGTATCACGTCAAGTCTTTCTGACCGTCCGTTTGTAGGTCGGTACCCATTTCATCGTTTGATCACCACACCACCGTGCAGTAACCTCGATCACTATCGTAAAAGTTCAACATTCAAGTTGGAATTCTCAGGAGGGTGGGCTCCAGGTCTCTCTCACCTGTTTCAAAGTGGTGTCCTCGTGGTGCCTGATGGGAAGTCTCTCGTATTCATAAGCGGATGAGATGATTTCTATCAAGCCTCGTAGCTTTGTCTTTGCGTTTAATGACACACTGAACAGCTCTGAAAAGTGAAACGAAACAGATGGTTGGACAAATGGTGCGAATCTAATAAACAATAACAATAGGAAAGTTTAAGTGAGACTTGTTACTATGCAATGTTTGTTTTCGTGTTTCTTCAAGAAATCAATTTCGAAATCTATAGTTGGCTTATACTTCTATTTCCTCGCTCATAACTCCTTTTTTGTCTTCAATCAACGACTTAAAATTGTGATGGTATGGCGAAATATGAAGTCAACTAACAAGATCTGAAAAAACTACCATCTTCACCTTTTCAATTGACACACAAGATCTTACCAATAGTTGTGTAGTTGATGTAGTAATAAGCTGCGATCATTCCAAGATTTAACGGCGATACATCCATTTCATCCTCAATCGACAAACACTAAACGAAAAGAATACAAGAAATATGGATCGATAGATTACCGTTTATTCTGTATGTAACCCGTACACTTTTATTAACCTTTCATCCTAAGATCTAATTACAAATTCTCCTTGTTCGCTGCCATACGATTCCTAGTAAATTGTACAGAAGAATTTGGTTTTAACCCCAAAATAACATTATTTAGCATGTAAGTTTGTCTGTTCTCATAACATGTTTGCAAGATGACATAACGTCTTTGAATGGCAATGAGAAGTTACCACGTAATCACTTTTGGGAGTTAAAAGGGTTGATAATTCAGTATCGATAATTAGTTGACATTCATACTGTACCTTGGATTGTTCCAGGTCGTTAAGGGTGTTTTCCACCATATCTGACATGTGATCTGACAGATGACGATGAGTGACACCTATGTGGAGGAAAACAATGAACATGCGAAGTGTGTAAGCATGTAACCAGCTGGAGTTTGGGAAGAGCACCCGTACGGCTTTCCTCTTTAATGATGGCAATAGATAACACATCTAAAGTCATCAGTGCTTTAAACGTCAACTTTCACATCGAGGAAAACTGCTCCTTTTTTGTTAATGTTATTCTTTTATTGCACCTAACTGGCCAGAGAGGCACCTTCAAACCTAATCAAAATACTTTCCGAGGGGACCATTCAAAATATATTGTGCGCGCAGTGAAACGAAAAGCGAAACACATATCGTTTTAACCAAGTGCTAAAAGTAATTTTGTCCTTGATTGTACTGAAGTCTAAGGCTGAGAAAAATTCCATGAATCATCAAAAAAATAACCAAATAAGCTGCAAAGGACACAACACGCGCTCTATTGAAGTAATTAGCAGATGAAATCAAAATTGAACTTGCAAAATGGTTTGGTTAAATTTCAAAGAGAAGCGCTCTTATGCGTCAAAATTTCCCACCGAAAGATTAAAATAACGCGCAATTCACCTTGTAAATTGTAGTAGTTTGGATTCTGTGTCATTCTGCGGTACAGGAAGGTCCATGTGAGGTAATCTACGGCGTCTTGTTTGTTCTCCACAGTCTTCGTTACAACCTCAGCATTAAAATGGTCGTGCAGACAGTGATCCAAATGCGACTGAAACCGTTCAGAAAAGTTTACATTAATATTTTAGTTACCAGAAGCGATTTAAAACAGCTGGCACATTCAAATACCGCGAGCAAAGAGGGAGAGGGGAGGGGAGGGGGAAGTGGGGAGCAAGTCAGAGGATATCAGTTACCAGTCCTACCCCCCCACTCTCCGCTTAGTAACTCGGTGCAGCTCTCGAGCGACAAGCCTGCTCAGAGACTAACTTTGTCCGTTCGTTGACTTATTAGTTTGCCTATTTGTTGTTTTTTTTCCGCCAAATTTCAAAACCAAAGATACCGCCCTACGACTAGTGCAAACAAATACGTAAAAAATCGACATCCAGCGAGCAAGACACGTACGCTCTTTTCAGATTTCTATTCCAAAGGATAACACTCACCTCTATAGGCAAAGGCTCATAAAGGAATTTTTTGAAGTACTCTTTCTTCGAGGCTTGGCAGAGAATTACAGCTTTTCCGGAGTCGTCTAACAGTGGTCTATTTGCTCGGCCGATCATCTGCAACACATCTGTGACTGGATAGTCTACGTAACTATAATGAAAGAAAGAAAAAATATATTTTACACAGTTGGATGTATATTAAATTCTGTATCGAAACATAGTAGGATTTTTATCATCGATCATTTTCTGTGATAAGCATAGAAACCTAGCCTGAATTTTCACCCAATCAAATACAATCTAATGTCTTCTCGAACACAGGGCAAGAAAGAGGTTGAGACCAAGTCAAGGGTTCGATAAATTTTCTCATGGGCGGTAGATGGTGCATTAGGCAGCTACGCCGTAAGGCGAAACCCAAACACGGGCTCGCAGGCTTAACAGGTAGCAAGAGGTCTTACAGTCGGCGGAAGACCGCTGATAACTTGCTTTCATTGAAACCCTTGCCAAGTTCTTATCCCTTGAGTCTGATCAACCGTTGAGGTTTCCTGTGCTTTCTAATGGTTTCAGTTCAATCAAAATGCGCTCGGTAGGAGAACAGAAAAAGTTACACGTCTCAAAATTTTCGGAAACGAAGAAATACTCCCAAAAATATTTTGTTTTCATTACGACTCGAGGGTATTTTTCGCCTGGCTCTTCCCTTGACTTATTGCAAAACAAGCGAACAGAATGGCGCTACAAAGGGTAGTTCGACTTACGTGTGGATCTTTCCTTCGTAGAACTGTGTGTCCATGATGATCACCAGATGAGCACTCATGTCAATCGCCCAGGCAAGATTGCGTGACACGACCACCACCTGTAACGCAAACAGTCACAAAAAAACTGGTTTTTACATTACGCGACCAATACAAGGCAACGAAGGAAGCAAGAGACCTCCATTCTCATTAATTTTTCACGTGTTACAGAGATTTCCTGAACTAAGCTGTAAATTACCTGAATGGCGCCAGAGTTGAACAGCTGTTCTACAATCTTTGTTTCACCTTCTGACAGTCCCTCGTGTAAATACGCCACACCATAACTGACAGTCTCCTTTAAAGTCTGGAGAAAAGACAATTACTTTGTTATCAAATTTACGCAACGTACCTTCTTTTCAAAACATAACTATCGTGTTTTGAAAAAGTTAAACCGGTGGGAAAAACATTAACCCTTCTTTCTCAGATAACACATACGGGGAAACTCATATAACAATTTCACTCCCGAGATCTCATTACAATTCGTATGATGTTAGTTCGGAGAAGTTAAGATTAACGATCAACTATGGATATATTTCTTTATTCTCATCACTTGTCTTCTTGGTATTGTGTTGATATTGTAAGGAGAAATTCTGTCTTGGTCACTCATGGGAGATGGAGATGGATTAAATCCTCTCCTGTGTGAGCGAATCAAAAGCGAACCAAAAAATTTCGCAAAACACTGTCACCCCGATAAAAATGTAATACAGACAAAAACATTTCCTATCCAAAGGTTCAATCCTCCCTATGTACGATGCTCTAGCAGTTCGTGTACTCTACCTAGATCACCGCCCATAGTACACAACTGTCCTTTCATTCTCAGTCATTTTATAACCATTCGACGGCAAACACAATTAGCAAATTCGTTACCTTGTCGTTCAAACGCTTCACAAAAGGCTGAAGATCTTCCTCGGTGCAATGCAGGAACCTAAACAGAATAACATATTTTTTTTCTAAGAGGAAAGGGTGACTTGGTAACCTTGAAACGGCTCAGACCTGTACGAATTCATTGAATAATTTTAGTTTGCAATCAAAATAAAAAACTGATTCTTTAGAGCGCTTTCAGCCTCACCTCTCCGCATCATTCTCGGCGCCAGAGAAGGTCAGCAGATCCAACGCAGTGAGTTTAGTTTGTCTTCTGGAGGGCACAAACACAATGACAGGTTTCTTGGGAGAATGTTTCACGATGGCCTGATAGGTAGGTTTAGTCATGGCTATCAGACGAGATGCTGTATGAGTGA